ATATAAAATATAATGTATTCTATTTTTATAATATTTGTTGTATTATTGTTTTGTATTCTTATATTTTATATTTATTTAATAATATATTGTTTTAATATAAAATATAATTTCGCAAAAATGGCGGAAGACAGTAACTCGGGGGAGAAGAATTGTTGAATAAAGTCGTCATTTTTGTTTTCTTTGCGCTCAAAAAGTATTCACTTCAAAAAGAAGTTGAGCCACTGATGTCACATGGACTGTTTTACCGATGTCCTTGCTATGTTTCTGGACCTGGGAACATTTCAGTTGCTTTGCTGTCTATGGGAGGGTCAGAGAGCTCTCAGATTCCATCAAAAATATCTTAATTTGTGTTCCGAAGATGAACGAAGGTCTTACGTCTATGGGAGGGTCAGAGAGCTCTCAGATTCCATCAAAAATATCTTAATTTGTGTTCTGAAGATGAACGAAGGTCTTACGGGTTTGGAACGACATGAGGGTGAGTAATTAATGACAGAATTTTCATTTTGGGGTGAACTAACCCTTTAATGTGATCCAGACTTTAGAAGTACATTAAAATGGAAATAATACAAAGTCCTTCAACATGAAAAGCGATAGATAATTTCCCCAGATAATTGTTTCATATCGGGCTCTGCGCTTTGACAGGGCTGTGGGACACGAGCAGTACAGAGCCCATCTCTCTTCTCATATCTGCAATATTCCAATATTCCAAAGCAAATGACACATTTGTAAATGGTCAGAAAAGCTAATTTAATAAATAGATAAAATTCATTCCTACAACTTGTTAATTTGTTCCTGCTTGTGGCCAAGGTCCATGTTTCATTCATTTGTTCCCTAGATAACCCATGATTTAACTACAATGAGGGAACAAATTAATAAGTCGTAGGAACAAATCCTTCATTCGTGGCCATGAAATCTTTCATTCCCCCCCACACGTCATGTCGGTCTCCATAAAAATAAACTTGACGTGCCTCGTCTAACAAGCACAAACTGTGTTGAAGTTGAATATGATGAGAGATAAAGACTGAAACCCATGCGATTTCTATAAAATAATTAGGTTAGTTTTGGCAAGTAAAAAGGATATGGTGTAATTTTTTTTTTTTTTTACTACAGTAAGAGATGCAAAAACAGATTAAAAGTGAATGATAAGAAAATAAACCTGCGCAATTAGAGGGTGAGACAGTGGGGATTTGGGAAAAATCCTCAAATGATCATAATCACATCTATTCATTTTACAATCCTACTACCAACCTTTTATTTAGACTAAAAAGCCCTTTCATTGGGGTGAGGAAGCTGTGTTTTGAGTAGCTTTTGCCCATCCTGTCATGCTGGTGACTGTATACCACTGTAATAGACGCATTTTATACTATTACGGTTAATGATTAACCAATTAATTGATCGTTAATTTAAACGACGTTCGATCATGGGAATGATATATATATATAATATTTTCTCTGAGATCATTGTAATTCATTATGGGATTGCCTTCTTGATTGGATGTGACCAGCAGAAGGTATCTTAGAAAGCAGTGTCATTATCACTGTGATCAGTGATTTGTTGTTTTTTCCTCTCTCTCTCTCGTTCTTCCTCTCATTTATATTCTTTGGCTCTTTATTTGCATGCATCTCAGATGTGCTGTTGGACCTCAGTCTGAGTTAATACCTGTTTGTGCTCTCCACCAGAGAGATGAGACTCATGCATTTTAATCACAGATGTGTGTATATGTGTGTGTGTGTGTGGATTTATTCTCTCTCCCCTGAAGCCAAAACTTGTACAAGAATTTTGTGGAAGAAAATACATGAGTATTTTCTTCCGCACGAGTACATGAATGACGAATGTGCAGTGTCATTTTCAATTCAGCAGCAAAAGTAATATATAAATTTTCACACTGCCACTGACACCAACTTAAAAAGGGTTGTTTTGTTTGCTTGCATATCATATGAATTACCAACAGAAATGTCATATGTGGTTTCAACATTTGTTTGCATTTCACTGCAGGCATCCATAGATGGCAGTGTACATCACTATGAGAGCTATTAGAACATTAACTATCACTCTGTGTGTGTGTGTGTGTGTGTGTGTGTGTCAGTAGAGATGCATTAAAGGCTACACAAGAAGCTCAGCTTCCACTAACATTTCCATTAATATTATGTTCAAATATGAAGTGATATTGATAGTAAAAATCTGTCTTTAAAATTTTAGTGTGTAAGGATAATGTGTAAAAGTAACATAATTTGCTTTAATGCAGCCCCAAAACACATTTGGACACTTAAGTCACACTTGGGTTTTATGTTTGTATGTATGCATGCATGCATATATTGCATGTATTTATTTTTTATTAATTTGGTTTTATGTATGTATGTATGCATATATGCTTGTATTTAATTTTATGCATTTATTTTAATGTATTTATTTATTTATTTATTTTAATCAATCAGTTTATTTTTACCAATATTTATTTATTCAAGTTTTTTTCAATTCAAGTTTATTTGTAAAAATGTCAACAATTCTGTGTTTTTCTGTCAATATGGGGTGCTGTGTGTACATTAATGAGGAAAAAAAATTAACTTGAATGATTTTAGCAAATGGCTGCAATATAACAAAGAGTGAAAAATTTAAGGGGGTCTGAATACTTTCCGTACCCACTGTATATATGCTTGTATTTAATTTTATGCATTTATTTTAATGTATTTATTTATTTATTTATTTTAATCAATCAGTTTATTTTTACCAATATTTATTTATTCAAGTTTTTTTCAATTCAAGTTTATTTGTATAACGTTTTTCACGATACAAATCGTTGCAAAGCAACTTTACAGAAAGTTTCTACAATATATTTAGTAGTAGCTTATCAGTGGTGACTGAACGATACAAATCGTTGCAAAGCAACTTTACAGAAAGTTTCTACAATATATTTAGTGGTAGCTTATCAGTGGTGACTGTCAGTTAATGTACATATGGCAGAAATGTACGGAAAAATCAATTAAAGACGTAATCAAACAGACAATGAACATTTATTTATTTATAGTGGATGTATGTAAAAGTGTACAAATACTTTTTTTTTGGGTCTGCTGATTGTCCATAATTTACTATCATTGATATAATATTATAGTTTTTGTTTACATTTGGAATTTTTTGTTTTCATTTTAATTTTAGTAATTTTGTTGTGTGTTTTTATTATATTATTATAATATAATTATATTTAATTTAAATTTAACAAAAAAATTAAGCAACTTGCTTAATTAAAATGTGTTTTATTTTATTTTATTTCTGTTAATGTTTCTTTTATTTCAAGTGATTATTGTTTTTATGGTTTGTTTAAATTTTATTTAACAGTAATAACCCTGCTAAGAAGCAGAAGGCTTCAGCAAACTTTTAATCTACATTCCATTTAGGATTAAATTACCATTTAGGAGAAACTGTTGAGTAAATAAAAAATAATTATAAAATATATATTTTTTATTATTGGATCTTGAAAAGTGAGTGTTGCATATCAGAATAGAGAATTTGTGTTGTCATCTGAAAAGAAAGATGAAGCAAGTAATTGCATTAAGATAAAAGATTCTCATTGCATCATAATGTTCACAATAAGAACAGCAATGTGCATGAAGAAAATAAATAGGGTCAGTTATGATTTTATATGAACTTTAACAGCTTCACTTGAATCATCCCTTCATCTAGCTGTGAGTTATGTCTGTCTTTACACACGTGGCTGTTTCATTTGTCATCTGTGAGCGCTGTGTTTGCTTCCTGGAGGTCAAAGTCATGCAGGTGCAGAGCGGAGATGAATCTCTGTAACGCTGCTGAAGCCTGATGGATGTCTCCGCTATGAGGGCTCCCGTGGCCAGCGGCTGCTCTTTACTACATTACTTTATTTGGTCAGATCTCACATACATGTCACATCACTTTCTTTCAAACCTAAGGCTGTTTTTTTACACATTGTTTTGGACCAAATTGCTGCATATTTGTGTAATCGACGTTAGTGTTGCCGTGACTACTAGCAGCAGCTGGTAAACAATGTAACTAACAAATTAAATGAAAATGAACCCAACTTACTTTCTCAATATGTGTTTCTGGTCGTATTGTGCTTGATTTATCTGTGCATGTTGTCCCCAAAATATGCTTTTTAAAATATATTGACTTCTCTCATACACTACTGTTAAAAAGGTCGGCTTTATAATTATTTTATTTTTATTTTTTTTATAATTTTTTTATTTTGAACTTTCTATTCATCAAAAACTCCTGAAAGAAAATGTATCACGGTTTCCACAAAAGTAGCACAACTGTTTTCAACATTGATAATAATCAGAAATGTTTCTTGAGCAGCAAATCAGCATATTAGAATGATTTCTGAAGATCATGTGACACTGAAGACTGGAGTAATGATGCTGAAAATTCAGCTTTGATCACGGGAATAAATTACAGTTTACAATATATTCACACAGAAAACAGTTACTTTAAATTGTAATAATATTCCACAATTTTTACTGTATTTTTGATCAAATAAATGCAGTCAGAAGAGACTTCTTTCAAAAACATTAAACCCCAAACTTTTGAACAATAGTGTATTTTTCCAACCCTCGCTTCCAATCAGCTGTCTCCATTCTGGTATGTAGCTTTTCATTTATTAATTGATCAAATCAAGTCTGAGCATACATTTATTATTCTGCTTCACATTATGTAAGTAAAATTGTTTGGGAATGCTGTTTCAAGTCTTTAAATAGAGTCTGAGGCTCTTGTAGAGGAACCACAGTATTTTTAATAATGTGTGCATGCACGATTAGATGGAGAGCCAGTTTTGGCGAGAGAAACGCACACGATATCACACAGAGATCTCACACCCGTCTCCTAAGAGTTAACTTGCACTGGTTTCCTGCTGTAGTTTACATTCCCAGAGCTGCAGCTGGCATGGGCAGCCTGAGTTCACCCGCTCTTTACCCTCACATAAGACTCCTTTCTGATTGAGATCCAATTGATTATATACGTCTCTTTTCGTTCTGAAGGACCTGTTAGAAAGCCCAAGTATGTGGAGAGTCCTCGCGTTCCTGGAGATGCGATCATGTCGTCGCTGAGGAAGCTTCCTGACGGTGCGACTGGTGAGTGACCACACATGCTGTTATTCAGTTCAGAGATGTGTGTGTTTCGGTTTGTTTTTGTTGGTTAGAGTAGAAGATTGTTGATGACGTCAGGGTTCCTACAGTCACCGATGACCAGGAAATAGTCACGAAAATTCATAAAATAATTAATTGTAATTGGTTTAATAAATATTCATATTTCTAGTTAAGCTCAGATCTAAAATGTTCCATTGCTTCCATTATCTATTCTAAATATTATCATAATATGATGTAATTTTTAATTATAAAATAATCTAAATATTATATATTTTTTTATTTTTGAGTATTGGGTAAAATGCAGTTTTTCTTTAAATTTGCAATCATTAAATTATTCATTTATGAACATTATTATTATTTAAAAAACTAAATATTATTATAATATTTTTAATTGAGGTTTGAGTGAATCTTGGGTAACATTTGTTTTTTTTATTACATTTGCTATCATTAAATTAAATTATTCATTTATATGAACATAATATTGGCCACCATGATCATTAAATATAATTTTTTCCATTTATTATTTTGTTTCACTCGGAAAAGCCACATTTCATAAATAAAATTGGTACAATCCATTCTTAATATTATTAAAATCTATTATTATTATGTAGTATTAATAATAATAATAATAAAAAAAATTCTAAGCTAATTTTTTTAGTTTTGAATGAGTATTCTCTGAAGATTACTCTTCAGTTATATTTAGCATGTTTTGCATTACATTTGGTATCATTAAATTGTATTATTCATATATGAGCATAATATTGGCCACCCTGATGTCTAAATAGCGCCATTGGCAAAATCCTTATGCTATAAATACACAACTCTGGAACAGTCATAATTCGTTGGTCAAAAATGAGGGAATCTTTTATTTATTTACTTAAGATGTTTTCTATGGAAATTTCATGTTTTGTCTGTGTTTTTATGTTAAATTATGTATGTAAGCAAAGCAGCATGTGTGTCATTAAATTTGCTTCATGCATTTTGAATTGAGATAATTGCATATGTGTGTGTGTGTGCTGTATAAACACAGTGTAGAGAATCTGTGTGTATGTGTGCTCGTGTGTTGTCAGTAGCGTGTAGTGCAGTTTCTGTGCTGGGCAGGGACAGAGTTGGCAGTGTTGTCTGTGTGTATCTTTAGCTGCATATCACTGGACACTGGATTGTGTTGGTCACAGGAGTGTGTGAGACATCAGAGCTTTCCAAACAGCTGTGTGCAGCAGAGAGGCGCCAGTCGAATGCCAGCTGTCTGTGGCACAGCACTGTATCGCTCTGCTCACACGACCTCATGCAGGCCGCTCAGAGACCGGTGACTAGGCAGTGACAGCTGATGCTCATGTACTGTAAAGTAGTGTATAAAATGGGATTTCTTTTGATGTGGTGCCAGACATTCACATTGATGTCTCACAACTAGTGACGCAGTGAAAAATTTTGTACGAAACGGCAAAAAAATTTATATTCCGTTTCGGCTGAAATGGTTTTTTTGGAGGGCTGAAATCATTGACTAAAACAGAGATGTTTAATTAGCACTTCTCTGATTTATTATTTTTTTAATCAAGCTATTAATAAAAGCATTAATAATATAATATTATTAAAATAAATAAATAATATTATATAATTTTATTGAATTTTGAATGACTATTGGGTACATTTTAGCCATGTTTTTGCATTACATTTGCTATAATTCAATTTAATTATTAATATATGAATATAATACTAATTTATTATTATTATTATAAAATCTAAATATGATTATATATTATAATAATATTACTCTATATTATTATATATATATATTTTTAATCAAAGTTTGAAGGATTATTGGGTAAAGTGACTTAATTTAAATTTACCTTTTATTAAAATATTTAATTTCATTAAAATAAATTATTCATATATGATCATAATATTGGCCACCCTGATCTCTAAATATATATATTTTTTAGAAATATTCTTTCTAAATATGTGCAATTTATAGTATTTGTATACAATTGGTTTGATTGCTTTGAAATAAATTTGATTAATTAATTGATTATTAACTAAACGTTATTTTCAGTTTCGATATTCGGCTAAATTAAGGCTTTAAATTCAGTTTCGGTAAAACATTAAAGGGGTCATATGATGCTTTTTTAAAGATCATTATTTTGTGTATTTGGTGTAACAGAATATGTTGACATGCTTTAATGTTCAAGTGCATCACTAAGCACAAAATTGTGTTTAATTTAGCAAGTGCCATCCAGTTATCATCTCGGGGAAAAAAAGTGATTATTTTGCATTTTGGAGTCAAATTTTGAGTAAAAACAAGGGAATTTAGCTTAATATCACTTCCTGTGCACTGCACACTGGAAATCAAGCTCAATTTGCATACCACATATTTTCCCCTTGGGAAATATTTGATGTGCCATTCTGAGCATGCTGTTTGTGTTGGTTAGTAATTGTAAGTGAGATGCTTTAGATTAGTGTGAATAGTTAAGGGTGTTGAATTAGGACCAGTATAATCTGACCTGGTTTTCTAGCTGGTTTATTTACTGCATACCTGTCAAATCTCAATGACACAGCCCAGTTAGCTCAGCTTTACCTCCGCACACATATATAAGGGTCAGCACTGTTTACATGGGGGTCTGTCACGTGTTATTTTAACCCTGAGAGAGTTTATATATAGCAGCATCTCCATACATTCCCACAGGCTCCAGTTAAACATCATACGCATGAGATGAACTCAAGGTTTTCTGTCAGCCATGACTTTCAAGGTTAGGTGCATGTCAATTAAAGAAGCATGGTGGAAGATAATTGGCATTCATCATAATTATGATTTCATTTGCAGAAAGCTCTGCTCATTTAGCCAGTTTTGAAGCATTAGGCTTGTGTGACTCAGCGGTATTTCTCATCATTGTCGGTGTGAGCATGAAAAAAACTGGCTGCACTACTGATGTCTCTTTATTTTGTTGCACTAAAAATCACCACACATTGTGAACAAGAGGGATGTTTATTTTTGGTTGAACAAAATCATTTATTATATATTTTATAGCTTAGCATTTTAAATTGTAATCATATTTTTATTGACTTTTTTATTCAGTTTAATTTTTTTGCAATGAATTTGTTAATTGCAGTTTTGGTTTTTCATGGATATATTTTTTTACGTGTCAATATATCTATAAATATACTGTATCTATATATCTGTGTACCTATGTTTTAGTTTCAGTCTTAGTTTTTGTAATTATAGTTAAAGAATGAGTTCATTAACATTTTATAAATGTGTGTGTATATATATATATATTAGGCATGGGCCGGTATGAGATTTTGACGGTATGATAACCTTAAGCAAAAATATCACGGTATCACGGTATTGTCGTTACAGCTCTAAAATGTGTTATTTTTAAATGACTGGGTAAAAAATAAAAATTCCGCTGAACACAATATGTTTTGTTTTTGAGCAACATTATATATAATATAATATATTTTTATTTATTTTAATAATTATAAAAATCTTAAATATTTTTTTTACAAAATTTTATATATTATTTTTATTTTAAGTTATAATTCATCAGTTCATGAGCAATTTTGTATATATTTTGTATAAAGATTCACTTCATCAATATTTGTCATGTATATGTATATTTCACATTTTAGTTATAATAAGTATTGATACGAATCACTTTGTGATTTTGTATAAATATATTTCAGTTTCATATATTAGTTTTAGTAATTATTGGTATAGAATCAGTTATTGAATCTTTTTATATGTATTTTAGTTTTAGTTTGTATTGTTTAAAAAAGTAGTTGAGGAGTCAGCATTGACAGTTCGACATGGAAACTAAGCAAAACCTTCAGAATTTAAATCCTTATTTACACTTTAATTGCATTTACACCGATGTTTAAATGTAATAAAATAGTGTACAATAGAATCCCAATGAAGAAACAATTCATAAGCTCAGTGTATCGCCACTTTGACTCCATATCGCCATCTGCAGGAGAGGAGTGTTTTAACACATGCACTAGGTTTTTATATTATTAGTGCTTTATTTAGGTTTAGTTTTACTCAGTTTAGTTTTTCGCTTTAGTTGTTTTCAAAAGTTGTCTTAGTTTTATAACTCCTGAACTCATAGTTATGATTTTCTCCCACCGCAGAGAGCTGCGGGACGCAAAACAGCTCTCAGCATTCCCAACCTTCCTGGGAATGTGGCAGCTCTGTCTGTAAATACCTGTTCTCACGCCTCATCTCCCAAACATTCAGTAAAACTGTAGTTGAAGGAAGAAAGCAAACAGTGCCATGTGGAATTAGTCAGCGTGCTTCACTAATAGCGTTAATAATGCATAATTAGCCCCAGTGTGTGTGTACTTCATAATGATGCTTAATTACTCTGTCCTGCTGCCAGACTTTCAGTTCTTGACTGAAAGTGTTAGGCATTTCTTTATTAACACGCACTTGTTTCCTCGTCACCTGAAGTCAGAGCGCTCTAAAACAGTTGAGCAGAAGTTGAGTCTGAAAACTGCTGCCAAGAGCAAATCACGTGTCAGTAAAGCAGTGAAGGAAAGTGCATTTTCTTCAAACTGTTGCTCCAATATATTAGTAGCCGTATTAGTTATTGTTTGATATTGTAGATTTTGTGTTTTTGTTTGTTTATTAGAATCAGTCTAGATTGGTTGTACGGTGTACGATATTAGATATTAATTATTAATTATTTCATTTATTTATTTATTCATTCTTTCATTTATTTTTTTTAGCATTTTTACTTAGACATTTACCTTTGTGTCACATATTTAAAAATATAATGATTAATAATTAAATTGAATGTCATAATTAAACATAATAAAACAAAACATATTAGATGTTTAATAGAAAAACACTGTTAAACGTGATCTTTAGCAAATCCCAAATTAATATACATATTTATCTATTTATTTTTAGTATTTTTACTTAGATTTACATAGTTAACCTGAACTTTTCATCACACAATTAAAACAAAAATAATTTAATATTAATTTAAAAG